GGAACCAATGCGGATGGTTATTAGTTTCCCTGTGTAATGTATTGTAACAAGTATTTGTGTCTTCTTGACTGAAATCAGAATTTCTTCTTGAAAATGGCCAAGAATTAAGTAGAATTCAGAAACTGCAGCATACCTGCTAAAATATTGCTGTAAACATCATTAGAATCTTGCTGCCACCTTTCACAACTGCACAGTAAAGCAGTTACAATACCATACAAAACTTTATTACAGTCACTGACCAGCACACAGTAAAGCAGTACAACTTATTAAGCATATAATATAAGAAACACTAGGGGCCGCAGTGGCGCAGTGGGTTAAACCACTAAGCTTCAGAACTTGATGATTGGAAGGACAGCAGTTCGAATCCGCAGACAGGGTGAGCTCTCATTGTTAGCCCCAGCTTCTGCCAACCTAGCAGTTCAAAAACATGTAAATATGAGTGGATCAATAGGTAGCACTTCAGTGGGAAGGTAACAGCATCCCATGCAGTCATGCTGGCCACATACTCTATGAGGACAACACCTCCTCTTGAGCTTAGCAATTGAGGTGAACACCACCACCCAGAATCGGACTCGATTAGGCTTAATTTAAAGGGAAAGTCTTTACCTTTACTATAAGGAACCGTATTTTCCTACACCATTGTATATAATATAACTGGAGTATCCACAGATTTTTTTTTCCTGTGGAAGGATCCTGCAATCAAATGCCAGCAGATACTTAAAGGCCCACAATATGTCTGTTGTAGAAAAGGCTACACTTGTTAAATTCTGACAATCAGTAATGGTGACAAGAAAGTAGTACAATTTAAGTATTTGAGGCAAGAGACAAGTGTTTTCCTCCAACATAATGAGTATATTTCAACTGGCTGCTCACAGTTTGTTTTGGCTGTTGATAATGATTAATACTGCAAAGCTTTGTACAGGAGTGTTAAACATAATTTCTAGTGTTTTTTATTGTTTCAAGTCCCTCTCATACTAGACAGGAGGGCAGAAGGGAAGAAAGTACCGGGGCAGAGACAAAAGGTGACGTGGGCATGGGGCCAAGCAAAGCAAAAGAGCAAAGAAGCAGGAAACTTAAGGAAGAGAAAATAGAGGTGAGGAAGATAAGGCAAAGCTGGCAGTCCACAGAAAGGCCTGGACGGCTGTCCAGTTCAGTATAATTCTCTCCCTCCATAAAGCCAGTCTTGATGATGTCAGATTAGTACACATTTTCTTCTTGTGTTGTGCCCCTGTCCGGTCTGCTTGTTATTCATCTTCTTCAGTATATCGCTGAATGCCTATCAGCTCTCCTTTTCTGGATCACTCCTATTTATCTTACATAGGCGAGCCCATCGTTGTCCAAGTATGATGGCCTCCAAGTTCTTGGAAGTTACCTGTGCATGAGGTTTTTTTTTTTAATGTGTGGTGGTCGGTGCACAACCAATCAACACACAGTCTTCACAGACTGAGGGTCCCAACCAGTGGCATGGTTAACACAACGGTGGCTTCTCAATCTCTTGCAGCCTTTTTCTGCTTGATCCGCTGTTGAGGTCTTCAGATCATCTAGAGTTCATTGCATTAATGAGGAGAGGAAAATCCATAGAAAGTGCATACAGTCTTTCATCTGACCAATATTTCTGTATTGTTTCATTCTTGATATTTGAATTATATTCGTGTCATGAAAACTTTTCAGTGTATAAAAGCGACACAGAATCCAATCTACATAGCACACACCCACACAATCCTTGCTTGCTCACTTTCTATTATTATTGTGGGGGGAGCTTATGTACACAGGATTCTCTGCTTGTAGCCCCCCCCCCCCCTCTATTGTGTGCTAGGAAGGACTGTTGATACAAGGTAAGATAAGTGCTGTGCATGAAGTGAAAAAGATACAAACCTCCCAAGTGTGTGCGGAGCTTTCAATTTGCTTGCTTTTTCAAGTCCCAGCTGTGAGAGCTGCAGATGTCATTCATGTGAGAACAGATGCTCGCTCCTTCCCTCTCCCCGCTCCCCACCTTCCTTATGTCCTCCCAAAAAAGAAAGATGTTCCATTAACTTGCCTCACAATCTTTTTGATTGCCAAGCACGGCTTTAAAAGGCTATAAATCTGCCTTCTCATTATGAAGGGCAGCAATAGATTGATTTATGGCGAAGCACAACTGTTGGACTGAGGACATGAAAGTGCAGGTTAGCACTGAATTTTTGCTGGGCTAGACGTTATCACTGCTGTTTGTGTGTGTTTGGGGATTTTTTGTTTTATTACTTGGACTGGTAATTTATATCTATGCATGTCCAACATCTGTCTTCATTAATTTGGACAGAAACCAAGGAGTTCTACTCAACTTAATGCTGCAGCCACATTGGGATGAGTTTCCATTCCAATACAGGGTTAGATGGGCATTCACACTGGGCCAAAAATGATCTGAATATTCTGTGGTGATAGCCTGTCATTTAAAAAAATCACTCTAATATGAATATTGCTTGCCCCCCCCCCCTTACTAGCCTTACCTGGCTTCAAGATTGTAGGCCTTCAACTATTTATTTATTTATCATGTCAGAAGCAAATTAAGGGTACAATTATAATGTATTTAAGAAAAAACACACAAATGAAGTTAAAAACTTGGCATTATGCTAGATTTCCTTTGACCAGAAGTTGACCACGGAGTGTCTCTGGTGTCACTGTGAGAAGGTCTCTATTGTACATGTGACAGGGCTCAGGCAGCATTGCAATACGTGGTCTGTTCTCCTCTGCACTCACATGTTGTTGACCCCACTTTGCAGCCCCATTTCTTAAGACTAGCTCTGCCTCTTGTGGTGCCAGAGCTCAGTCTGTTTAGTGCTTTCCAAGTTGCTCAATTTTCTGTGTGCCCAAAGGGGAATTTCTCATCTGGTATCAGCCATGGATTGAGGTTTTGGGTTTTAGCCTGCCACTTTTGGACTCTTGCTTGCTGAGGTGTTTCTGTGACTATCTCTGTAGATCTTAGGAATCTGTTTCTTGATTTAAAGCATTGGCATGCTGGTTGATATCCGAACAGAGGATGACCAGAGATGTCACTGCCTTGGTCCTTTCATTATTGATGGCTACTTCCCAACAGATATCAGGTGGTGCAATACCGACTAAACAACATAATTTCTCCAGTTGTGTAGGAAGTAGACATCCTGTGATAATGCGATGTGTCTCATTAAGAGCCACATCCACTGTGTTAGTGTGATGAGATGTATTCCACACTGGGCGTATGTATTCAGCAGCAGAGTAGCAAAGCGCAAGGGCAGATGTCTTCACTGTTTCTCGTTATGATCCCCAGGTTGTGCCAGTCAGCTTTCATATGATATTATTTCTAGCACCCACATTTTTTATATATTCAAGCAGTGCTTCTTGTAAATCAAAGCATGGTCCAGAGTGACTCCCAGGTATTTGCGTGTGCTGCAATACTCCAATGGGATTCCTTCCCAGGTAATTTTTAGATCTCGAGATACTTGTCTGTTCTTAAGATGAAAAGCACACATTTGCATTTTAGATGGATTAGGAATCAACTGGGTTTCCCTGTAAAAAGCAGTAAGAGCACCTAGAGCTTTGGAGAGCTTCTGTTCAACCATGTCAACTAAAAGAGAAGTCGTATTGCTAAATTTGCAAGTCTCCTGCTTGTATTTGATCCAAATACACCTTTCCTTCCCATGGCCCTACTACTGCTTGTTATTCTTGATATACTGAATGTACCGTTGCCCTCTGGCAAGCAATCAGACCTATTCCTGTTGCACAACTAATTGAGGATTGTCTTGGCAATTGTGTATGTATCATTGAGAGCTTCCCAGCACCAAGGTTCATAAGAAGTTCACAGGTTGACAAGAATATTCCCAGAAATAATTTTTATTTTTTAAATGACAGTTGTGGTGAGAGATTTGGCATGTAAACAAGAGTCTTTATGTACATGTATTGGGCGTAGTAGTGTTATAGAAAGTCTGATTTGTATTCCCATAGCCCTGCCTATAACATTATCATCTTTCTTTCTAATAGTAACCTAGGTGATTGAGTATGTATTGATTTGAAAACAAAATGGGGCTATGCCAAAATAAGGCAAGAGGTTTCTTTACTGTTTTTAGTATAGAAACATGAAAATCAAAAGGTAACGTTTTTCAAAGCAAAACAGTGACAACAGTGCAGCCATGTACAACAAGGCAGATGCAAACAGATGTAATAGTATCAGTAAGCTTCAAGCTATTTTGCTAAACAAGCAGAGGCAAGTCCGGGCTTCGCCTCCTTCCTCTTACGCTGGTCACACAGGCATCCTCCAATTCTCAGTCATCTCAGATCTTTTTTTTTTTTTTTTTGGAAGGGGAGATTATGTTTATCAGTAAACATCCCTTAACATTTAATCTGTTGATTTTACAAATATATTTAATATTTCCTTTTTTTAAAATAGAATGCAGAGTGCAGATTTAAGTGTCTTGTAGAGTTTAGTTTCTCCACTCGTATTTTGTCTGTTTCTACCTGCTTTCTGCAAGGAAAGGCTTTGTAAATCAAGGAAAAACTCCACAGTCTTCCTGATGAGTGAGCAAGCTGGTGGGAGTGGGGAAAGGGTCGGTTGGAGTTGGAACTGAAATTAAAAATAAAGGATTTTAGATGCTCATGATACTCTTTGTGGTGTCCCAGTCTGCCTATACAACTACCAAAATTGAACATTCCTGCAATGTAATACTAGGCCTCTTGCATATTTTGTGAGTTGTGTAGCCTCCACTTACTAAGGAAGTTCCTATTTTGTCTATGTATCGATGTGCAACCTTTTCCCTTAGGAATGTGGCCATTGTTTTTTGAACTGTTAATGATGCTTAGATCTTTTTAAAAGTAGCTTTGCATGAGGTGAGGGTGCTGGAGTCTCTCTTTACACAATTTCATTGTTTATTGTTGAAACCATTGTCATTTATCATTATTTAAAGTTTTGGAGAGCCAATGAGTGAACTAATTTTTGTGCTTTTGTTTTGTTTTGCTTGTGTTGTCTACCCCTATTCTCTTGCCTTACCAAGTCTGAGCAACCTAGTCCTGCCAGTTCAAGCTCGAGTTCCAGCTCCAGTTTTACACCGTCTCAGAACAGCCGACAACAAGGTAAACGTTACAGAGAGAAAGGGGACTTGGGCCTGCAAACCAGGCAAATGATACAACAAATGTCATTTCAGATGGCTGCATATTTCATTTTGCTTGTTTTTCTATTTATTGCATGGGCCTAAATCCATTTAATCCGAGAACCTCTAGGAAATCAGCGGATGATTATTATATTTATTCCTATCCCACTTTATCTCTCTAAAAAGAGACTCAAAGCAGGTTACCAAATTCACACTGATTCAATATGTCCATTCTAGTTTATTTAGGCTATGTTGTCCTATCCTTTTTCCCATTTCATACCACAACTTTGCACGGTAGGTTCACCTGAAAGAGAGGGTAACTGGATCCGCCCAGGTGGCTGGGTGTCTCCCTTCTTGTAGGTTGACAGGCTGACCCAGAAATGTGGAATATGATGCCCTCCAGATGTTATTGCACTCCTTCACCACTGACTCTGTTGAGGGATTCAACACCTGGAGGGCACCCATTCGCCAGCCTTCTTCTATCCATTATACTGCCCTGACTTAGACTTGCTATCTTTTCAAGTCTGAATTAATAATTTAGACTTGACAAGTTTATGTATGTTTTAACATATTATAATTTATGTATATTTTATGCATGTTTTAACATATTATAAAAGCTGGTTTCTTGAGAGTTCCAGTCACCTGAGTTCTAGTTAACTGAGAGTCTTCTGTAGTAAGCTTGTGGTCTAAGTGGATCGGCCATGATATGTGATGCCATTTTTGAAATACAATTGAGATTGTAGCATTTTGCCCTACATGTTGCCTCCTTCATGTTAGTGGAGGCTCATATGTGAGTGGAAATAGCTCAGAGTCATGTATGAATTGGGTACAAATGTTGAAAGGGAAGCACTGGCATGTTTTTTGTAACGAAGTCAAGCAGTAGTTTGCTATGGATAGAACAGCTTGAAAACAACTTCCCCAAAAATTGACAAACATGCAAAAAATAGGTATCAGTAAGACAAAACCACAGAAGACTTCTTTCAAGTTCCATAAACATTTTAAAAAAACACTGAGATAAACAAATTTCTTAGGCTTTATTGACTTTGGCTTTGCATCTAATCTCTGTTCAGTTTGGAGGAAGTCAGATTCTCTCTCTGCCAAAAATCTTGCCCTAACCAGCTTACATGAAAACAGTTGAGAGAGTTCCTGTTGGATTGTTTCTGTTATAAATGGCATAATATGTATGTTCTTAACCAGCTGCTTTTAAATGCAGAAAATATTAGAAGAAAACTTGGGATTCCTTTCCCAGAGGCATTTTTTCTGTATTTTATAGATTCCTAAATGCCTTAAATGTATATTTTTCTTCTGTAAAGATTGCAGGCAGACCGTTTCTAATACTTCCTTTGGCAGCAGATCACTGTATTAGAAGTAGTAGATCAAAATCTGTATGATGTAGTGTCACAGACTTTTTTATATGCATCGCCTCATTAGTTCTGCAAATGCCAAAGCCTTGAGCACCCATTAAGTTCTATCAGCTAGCATTCTGTATTGGAGTTAAAGTTTCATAACTCAAAGTTAAACACCCATAGCTACTCCATATTCAGTAAAACTACATAGCCTTGCTGTAAGACTATGTAAATTTCCCTCCAGACCACCTTAATAGACAGTGGCTGCATCAGGTGAAAGAGATCTGTTCAGCTGCCTACTGGAGCAAAAAGAGGATGACATTTCTGGCCCACGTCCACCATTTAGCACAGTTCTCAACCTGTGGATCCCCAGGTGTTTTGGCCTGCAACTCCCAGAAATCCCAGCCAGTTTACCAGCTGTTAGGATTTCTGTGAATTGAAGGCCAAACCATCTGGGGGCTCACAGGTTGAGATCCATTGATTTAGCAGGACTGCAACTCTCAGAAGCAGGAGGTGCATTGGAGTTTGCCATCGTAGCCTTGCTCACTGTTGGGACAGGGACAGAAAGATTATCCTCCTTGAATCCTGGTCAACAGTTGAACAGGCCTCCTTTGCCCAATGCAACTACTGGCTTTAAAGTAGGCTAAAGAGTTGAGCCAGGTAGTTACGCATATATCACTGAGTAGCATATGTTGGATATTGGCAATCATCTTGATTGTGTTTCAGAAATGCAATCATAATGTGCATTCGTGGGATTGTTGAAACTGAACCAGTAGGGTTTTGTTTTGTATACTTGTTTCTGTTTATTCCATCAGACAATAAAACTCACAATGGTTTTTTTTTTGTTGTTGTTAATCCATATCAGAAATACAGGAACCAGGATGACTTTATGTTTGAAATTTGCCAGCCTCACAATATTATGGCCTCGAGGCTCATTATAGTTTCCATCACTGTTTTGGATGAGCGCTTTATGTTCACGGCTAATATGCAGATGGAGATTCCATCTGAACATGAGGAAGAACTTCCTGACTGTGAGAGCCGTTCAGCAGTGGAACTCTCTGCCCCGGAGTGTGGTGGAGGCTCCTTCTTTGGAAGCTTTTAAGCAGAGGCTGGATGGCCATCTGTCAGGGGTGATTTGAATGCAATATTCCTGCTTCTTGGCAGGGGGTTGGACTGGATGGCCCATGAGGTCTCTTCCAACTCTTTGATTCTATGATTCTATGCTTTATTATTATAAAATTAAGCCTAATTGCAACATTGTCTTAGCAAACAACCAACAGTACTTTCTTTCTATCCCTCTCCCTGCAATCTTTTGTGCGACCCAAAAATACATTCCATGGAATCTCAGTTCTCCATAGCAGGACTTCTTAAACCTTTTCCATTTGCAGCCCCTTTCCATCTGAGAAATGTTAATGCAACTTTGGCTGTATAGGTATATGACATAGGTGTACAAATCAAACACTGAGTGGTGCTACAACATAATTTGCAAAGCTGATTTTCCTTTTTATGAAGTACAGCTGAAGACTTTCTATAGAGTCTACTGTAACTGCATGTTTGCTAATATCTAGGTGGCATTCAGATATTTTTATTGATGCCAAATTCTTTGCAACCACAACATCAAGTTAAGAGAACCCCATTTAGGGGCGGGACCCAAAATTTAAGAAACAGACCTCTATAGCAGGTTCTGTAGGTGAGGAAGGGCTAAATTTATTTACTCTATTTATTTGTTTGTTTTTTGTATCCCATCTTTCTCTACACCGAAGGGGACTCAAGGCAGCTTTACATATGGCAACTATTTAATGCCTTTGAACAACAAACAGTTAAAATGCATTAAGTTAAAGATTTAAAATTAAAATTAAATGAACATATAAAACATCGCAATCACCAAAGTAGCTAATATAATGTCTCTTCTATTTCTGCAAACCAGATGATCCCACCCTTATTAGCCTTTTAGTCATAATGATCAGACTTCCAATATTAAAAGTTTCCTTTTAATATTGGAAGCACCAAATTCTCAATCCGCAGTGCACAGTGTCTGTATGCAAATCCTTTTTGCATAAATACATTTGTGAAAGAAGGAAAGGATTTGCTGTCAAAGTGGGCTTGATTGAGCTACTGTCTTTTTCTCCCACTTCCTTCTTTGTGGAATAGAAATAATGATGACAGTATCATCATCATTCATTCTAAAAAATATTGTGAGGGTGAATCTCATCCTTTATTAACAAAATTAGAAATAATTTCATTTACTTTATCCTTTTTTATTTTTGATTAGGGAATTTGGTTATTGATTGGACTGGAATTTTCCAAGATGATACATCCCTCTGTACATTAAATGAAGACCTGCAGATTAGATCTGGGCTATTATTTATATCTTCCATCACAATAATAACTTCACAGTTAGCATATTTTCATATTTGTGATTAGTCTTCAGTGGAAACCCAGACTAAGCTTGAAGACTAAGGGCACTGCTCACATGAGCAAATATTCTACACTACTTCCATCAGTGTGTTTCATTGGCCAAGCTCTATATTTTCAGAAAAATTCATTGGCCAAGCAATATATTTTCAGAAAAATTGTATTCTGAAAAGAGTCATGTCATTGCACAACTCCATCCTGATTCTGTCTTTGGTATCCATTTCATAAAATCCATTTCCTAGAGAGCAGCCATGTTTTCAGATATACAAAAAGACATATCCTTTTGTGAAAAATGTATTTAACAACAATTTTAATACTTCACATTTAGGAGCCTAATCCTAAATCTGCTCTCTTAATACAACTTTATTAATTGAAGCAGGATTAGGATCTCTGTTCAGTTCCAGGATAAAGATAGGTCTTTGCCAGTGGCATTGACACAGTTTATATGTATGAAACTAGCAAAGAGCTTGCTTGACCTGACATTGACCTTAGAATAAAGAAGACAGCTAAATCTAAGTAGATCAAAAACAGGCAGACAAAGAATGCCTTGGCCAGAGCAAGTTGCAATCACAATGATTTATTAGACTATGATTTTCAATACATGGATTAACCTAACAAAGTGTACTATTACTAGTACCCTCTTTTAGATCTTTTTAGATATAAGATACTCGTAATAAGATAGGTCTTTTCAGATGTACTCGTAATAATAACTTTCGATGATTTCAAAAAATAAAATCTTCTTTTCTTTAAGATGCGTTCCACTCTCCGAAAGCCAGCTTACGTTGCTTAACATTCCAAGGGGGCTAATTCTGCAACCACTTAAGGCGCTAATCTCTTTGTTGTCGCAAATAATCCTGTTTTAAGTCAACTGCTCATTGAATAAATTTACTTTTGTTTAAGCATTTGCTACACACACACCCTCCCCCTTGAATTACACCTTTTGTTTAACAGCCAAGTCCTCTTTCTCGCTTTCTTAAAAGCTGTTGGGACCTGTTTAGTTATAGAGCGGAACAATAGTTAGACTTGCATGGGAATTCCCCTTGTTGATTTGAGTTTCATTTTGGTTTTTTTGTTCACCAGGTCCTTTGAGGTCTATAATGAAAGATCTGCATTATTCTGATGATAATGAAGATGAATCTGATGAAGCAGATGAGAATGACAATGACTCTGAGATGGAGAGACCTTTAAATACTCATGGAGGAAGCAGGGGTCGCAGGTGAGGGTTTGAAAAGTAAATAGAAAACAAATTCCAAATGATCCATAGGCTGAAGAATTGAGCCAAAGACAATAGTCTACCACCTGAGACAGAGATCAGAGCAAACATTCAGCAGGTTCACAGACAAACAATGTACTTACAGGGTGGGGGAAGCATATAGATAAACAAGGATTGTCTAGGAGGTTGAACATCTTTGGAAGGAGTCTAGGCAGTCAGTGTAAGATATAAACTGGGGTTGTTTTTGTCTTTAAATACAATGCTTTATACTCTCCTAATTATGTGGTTCTGAAAAATATGCCATGAACACACATGCAGCCACATCTTTAACTTGCCCGTGACCATGAGGTCATCATAAATCCAAGGCAACTTGAAGGCACATAATATATACACATAGAGGCATTGCTCTCCTGCTTAGTTTTTATTCCCAATGTGCTATTCTTATGCATGAGATGTAAACCATGATATGCAGCTTATGAAAACATTAATCAAGTTTGTTACTTGGCTCTTTGTTTCTGATCTCATTGTTTATATTCCTGTTAGTGGGATCTGGACACCATTGATGCAATTCAGACTGATTTCACTTGGCTCTTCATTTCTTATCTCCTAAGATTATTGCCAATTTTTTTCAGTTTTCTCTCTGTGATTGTGAGGGCATCTCCCCCACCTTTGGAAATAAAATCTCAGTTGAATTATAAAACAGGCTGCAGACAGCATACAACTCCCTTTGTGTCTTAGTCTTAGTCACTGTATATTGCTTGCTTCAGGAAAATTGTAATACCCCTTTCTTTCTTGTCTCAGGGTTAGCTTAAGTGATGGAAGCGACAGTGACAGCAGTTCAGCATCATCGCCACTACGCCATGAACCTCCGCCTTTATTAAAAACCAATAACAACCAGGTACTTGCTTGTGGTGTGATGGCCACAGTCGTGATCACTTTATTTTTCATTGAATTGCTTTCCTTTCCTCAGTATTGGGGAGCTAATTACAGAGTGAATTTGAACAAACTGGTCAAGGACAGGTTTATTGTCTATGCTTGAGCACTGTGCAAGTTTACTCTGCAGTATTTGTAGAGCTGCAAAGCAGGGCTATGTCCTTGTTCTTTGTCTTCATGGGTGCTAAGATAATTATAGGATTTTGACATCAACTAATTTGTATAATTTAATATACACACATTATTTGCTTGAAGAGAGAGCTAAAGTGATGCTGCTGTCATAATTTACCCATATCTATTAACTGAAGCTTGTTCAAATAAATGCCCTAGAATGCCAGTCACACAGCGTCCTAGATTATGTAATTATGTAGGTGCCTGTCTCCAGTTTAGACATTCAAGTCCTTATGACTATGTAGGGAGCCGTATCTAGTGATGCAATCCCATTGCCCTTCAACATAAAGACATACCTTTATCTGGCTTGCATATGGAAGGCTTTTGTTTCTAATGGCCTATACCTAAATGCAGAGCTAACCCTAACCCCCCCCCCCCCATTTTTTCTGGCTACAATACTGGCTAAATGCATGCCCCAGAGTGATGTGACTCATCTTGCCTAGCCTGTAACAACAGAATTTAATGAGAATAATGCTGAAATTCATAGAGGACTGAAAAGTCGTAATGTACATTACCTTACCAATCACTCCAATAAAACTCAGTACATTCCTTATAGAGGCCGTGGTGGTGCAGTGAGTTAAACTGCTAAGCTGCAGAACTTGCTGACTGGAAGGTCGGCGGTTCGAATCCATGGGACGGAGTGAGCTCCCATTCCTTATAATTAAAACTTTAGCCAGCACTTTGAATTAATGATTAGTTTTGAAATGTTACTGAATGAAATTTCAGTACAGTAGTGAGAGTACCAATATCTGTGAATTGAAGAACTATTTTTAATTTCAAATTATTGAAGAAAATGCAATTGCTTACTGACTATCATTTACCCATCCCATTACATTATACTAGTAAGGCTTCTGACTTCAGTTCCAAATGCTGCATTTTATTCAACTGAGATTCCCAAGACTGCTTCTTAATTTGTTACTCCATTTTGGGGGTGGACGGACAAGATTTACAGTCATCCATTTTGGTTTTCTACAGCTCAGCCTGAACCTAGGTTGAAATATACAAGATAGTGGATGGTGTATTTTCAGCATAAATGTAAAGAGGGTCTGATAGCTACGCAAAAGCACATTCTCAAGTACAACTCTTGATTAGTTAATCTTCATAAACTCTAAATTGACAATTTTATGAAGAATGATTTGAACCAATGTTTATAGTGATCACAATCCTGCATTTTTAAAGACGAGGAGCTAGTGATGACATGAATGAATCAGGCATCGTGGCTCCAACTTATCAGGGTATACTTTCATATCAGCGAAAATGACTTGAGATTCAGTACTTCTCAAACAGAAATAACTCATGCCTGAAGCAGCATGTCAGCAAATGACATGTTGTCAAGTCATTTTAGATCTATATTTAAATCAGTTTAATCAGCAGCTCATTTTCAGGCTTTATGCATTCCCGGCATTCCATAGAAATACACCTTATATCAATGAAACATATTAGTTGTGATCAGTGGAAAATATTGTTCATTTCACTAAAATGTAAGAACTTTTGCTAGATATCAGACCCGGAGGGACTCAGAGTGGATTACAGTCTTACATATGTAAGGCAGACATTCAATGCCTTTTTACACAGTAAACAACAACATACAATACAATACACACGGAAGCAAAAGCCTTCCCCTTGCATCTCCGGCATCTGGAGATGATGCCCAACTCTGGCCATGGGGAGGTGCTCTTGTTGCATTTTTCCATACTGAGGAGACTGTTGTCCATAGACCTCTCTGATCATGTTGCCAGCATGTCTGCATGGGGCACCATTTTTACCTCCCTGCCGAGGTGGTACCTATTGATCTACTCACATTACATGCTTTCGATCTGCTAAATAGGCAGAAGCTAGGACCAACAGCTGGGAGCTCACCCCAACTCATGGCTTCATACTGCTAACTCTCCAGTCAGCATATTTAGCCCGCTGGGCTACCACGGCCCCAATACCAACATATGGCATATGTTCTGTATCTCAAAAATTAGAGCTAATAGGAAAAAACTGGTGCCATTTTTGTAACCAGCAGGTTAAGTATACACAGAAGCAGGTATAACATTTGAGGTAACACAAAAGTGTAATCACTTTAGTGTAAATTAAATTGAAGTTAAATTTTGAGTGATAGATTTTGTCTTTATTACATCATTAAAGCCTAACTGGCATCCACTTTGGGCTATTCAGACTTTTGTTTATCAAGGAGCTGTAACATGCCTTGGATTTGAAGCAAATCTCCAATAACTTGTCATATTTATGCATAAATAGTCAAAAGTGTTGTTAAATGATATGGATTCAGTATGTTGGATGTCAGCATTACTTCTGTAATGATACTTTCATGTATGAATGTTTTGCCTACTGTTGTTTATTTAGTCAAAGACTTTCCTAAAGACTTTGCCAGTGTTTAAGGATAGATAGATTATTTTATTTTATTTTCTGATGTAAATTGCATGCATTATGGTATTTGACAGAAGGCAGAAGTTCATCAGATAAATTGAACACTCAATGTACTTGGACAATAAAAACATTTGATTATGAAATTACAAATCGCCCTCTGTCATGCAGTTTTGTTTTGTTTTCCAGATTCTAGAAGTAAAGAGTCCTATAAAACAGAGTAAATCTGATAAGCAGATAAAGAATGGGGATTGTGATAAGGTAAATAAGAAGTGGTCTCTCTTCTACTTCTTCAGCAGGTTTGGATCCAGAGTTAGTCATACTTAGAGTATACCTATTAAACTTAACAGAACTTAAGTTACATTACTAAAGGACACCTGAACCTTTTTGTAACACCCACAAAAAGGAATGTGTTTTTTTTCCCTTCTGCCCTACAGTCCTGGCAGCTGATCAAAATAGAAATTTTCCTGCTCTATGATTTCAATTTCAGGACATAAAAAGGGCTGCTGCTCTCCACTTCCATCAGTAACTATCCAGCATTTAAATATCTGTGCCCATCAAATGTCCAGGTTTTAAAGTCCCATTGATTTCAGTGGATCTTTTCTAAGTATGACTAAATAAGTGGAGCCACGCCATCATTGCTCTAGAATCTATATGTAAAATCTATTTCAGTATATCAGAAAATAATTCAGCGTATTAGTCTATCTTCATCATATTGTTTCTTCTACGTTTTAATCTGATTAGTTGAACATATTTTATATCATTTTGTTTTAGATGAAATAGTCACAAATATTTTCTGTGCATAGCTCTCTGAGTTCTACATCTTAACAAGTATGTTTTATTTCTTTTAATTTGTGATGGCTTATTCCCAGGCTTATCTTGACGAACTAGTTGAGCTCCACAGAAGGTTAATGACATTAAGGGAAAGACATGTGCTGCAACAGGTGAGAAAACATCCTGAGATGTTAAAACATCATATTTGTCAACATCAAGAACCCAGACCAGATCTTATAGCAGAATTTTGATAACCCATCAGTGTACATGTCAACAGATATAAGCATATCTTGATTAGTCTCAGAATATATTCGTTGAACCAATTGTTGAATGGTCAGTCAACATATTGGTAAATCCTATCATTTCAATGGATCTACTGTACTTGGAATAAACAATAAAATTCAAATTATAATCTATATTATAAATTATAAACATAGAGGATAATTTCTCTATATGTTCTAAGTTATAACAGATTTTCACAGTATTTTGAATTCAGGTATTATAAAGTTGAGTTTAGTTCGAAAATTGAATTTAGTATTATTTCAATGATTATTTGTATTATTAATTGGCCAAATTCAACCGCTATTTTATTGAAATGTTTGTTTTCACCATAGCATAGCAGCATAGCCTTTCAAAGCGTTAATTTTAAGTTTCCTTGTGAGAAAGAAAAGTACTAATGGTTAGGATGTCAGAGTTTCTTTTCCAAAACCAGCACCTGAGAACTGCTTTAGAATGTATATTTTGTCAATAAGAACTTTTATTTATATATTTATCATACTGCTTTCATGTATGTATTATGCACATTGCATAGAGGAAAAGATCTATTTATTGACATCTACAGGAGACCTGGTGCACTCTCATTATCACATTTTATTATCAGACTAGCTTGGGTACCCAGCATTGCCTGGATTACTTGAAAAAGTCATTTTTTAATTGTACAAAATGGTTAAGGTTGTGGTTGAACTACAACTTTCATCATGCCAGGTTAACCCCAAGAAACTCCATGAGTACTTAATTTGTTATGTTGGGCACGTTTGCTCTAGATGCATCATCGGTGGAGTTCAGTGTAGGGTAAACGACAACCCCCATTATGGTGAGCCAGTCCTCTCAAACCCCTCCAAGTAGGTTGAGTTAGTCATGGCCAAGTTTGGTCCAGATCCACAATTGGTAGAGGTCACATTTTCTCTGATTGAGGGTGAACTACAATTCCCAGAAAGGAAGGTCAGTTCCCCCAAACCCCCTCAGTAATCAAATTTCAGCATATCAGGTATGTGTGCCAAGTTTGGTCCAGATCCATCGGTGTTTGTGTTCACAGTGTTATCTAGATGAAAGTTAGCTACAACTCCCCCAAATTAAGACGAATTTTCCCCAAAGACCTCCAGTATTTTTCCTTTGTGTGCCAAGTTAGTTCCAGGTCCATCGTTGGTGGAGTTCAGAGTGATCTTAGATTACAGGTGAACTATACATCCCAATACCTACACTTCCTATAAATCATGGGAATTCTCAGCAAACCTCCCTAGTATGTTCAGTTTCTGATCAATTCCTCTGTTTGTTGTGTGCCATAGAAAAGAATAGGAAAGGGTTAAGGGAGAGGCAGTGGGTGGCATCATGCAAATTCCACACCAATGGAGAGAGTAAGGAACACTGGGATGCCTGTGGTGGAAGAAACATATAAAATCTAGGATGAAATTGTCCCTGTATGAAAGTCTTCACTTGGGAGGTGGGCAGGATGGTGTTTGTGGAGGGCATTGGCAGGGCTCTTGGACATGTTCACGACACTCACTATAACTTGCAATGTCATTGGAGGGAGGGCCTTTGTTGTCTCCTCCGTGGTGAGAGCTATAGCTGTTTGTGGAGACAGAAACTTGTTTCTGTAAGTGGACACCCCAGCCACATACACATATACATATTTTCACTTTTATTATGTGGATAGATAGATTATAGATATTAAAATAATAAATATTGGTAATTTATAACTAACTAGTCTTGCACCTTTCCAACAAAACTGCCTAAAAACCCTTTTTTGATTAGGGATTTTAGAAAGAAAGAAAGTCAAATACATAATAAAAGCTTTTAAGGCAGCTCTGTGGAATCAGAGAAGATGAACTATTTCAACTTTCTGGAAAGGTTAAAGGAAAAGGTATGCCATTAGTTAAACCCAAGCCTTTATGTATACATTCTTCTCAAAAAAGCATTAAAAGGGCTAGGGCATGATAGATGGCAATGAAATGGAGGGAGAGTGACATTGTGTAAACAGAACTGTACATTAAAACAATAAAGTACAGCATACTTCATCAAGAACAAATAAGACTTCCTTGGATCTCGCATCCAGGCTCTGCAGTTAAAGTATTTTAATGTTGTGTTTTTAACATTAGTAATCAGAAAGCCTGACAGCTATAACCTTAAATCTTTTTTCCTCAACTTTTTTTCAGTAGATTAAGAACACGAGTGCTAATATTAAAGGCATTAACATGATTCCTCTTGGCAGGCAGTCAAGAATGCCCCTAAAGCTTTCTTGGCGATATCTGGAGGGATTTTGTGCCTCCATTAAAACTGGGGGGTTCATCTCACTCCGATGTACCAGGTGGCCTCCACGCTGCAGCTGTATTTCTAAGGAGCCCCGATGAAGAATGGGGTTCAAATGTTCATTCTGCTCTTCGTTGGGAGCTTTAAAAGTTTAGATAGCGATCAACAAATGAGATTTTATTTCTCATCTCTTTTAAGAGCATCACATTGCTTTAAAATGCATCTGTTAACACTTCCTAACCACTTTCGAATTCCTCAGATTTATTATCATGGGAGTTAAGGGAAGGCCCCATTTTGGCACAGTATCACAAAAAGACCTATCGACTATAGTTTTCTTTTGAGGGGAAAAAAATCACTTTGGAGAGTTTTTCTGAAATTCTTCATGAACTGGTTTGTTTAGTCAGTGAAACATGCACTAGGAATTACATTCCTAACCCACAAAAGGAAACCTAGGATTTATACATTGTCCATATGGCATTATGGTTAATGTTGCATTGCAGGGCTGCCGTCCTGAACGAAGTTGTTTCTCAGCAGGATGGCATATTCAATTTTTAAGCAATGTTTTAAGCAACGTCCACGTTTTGCATTAGAATGGATTGGAATTTTATTACCTCTTGCTGATCTAGAGGCACATTGGGATGTGGTGGCCAAAATAAACAGGGTTAATCTCGAGCATTATTGTGATCCAAAGAGCTGCTTCATTGCCGTCGTCTGCCGGCACTCCACTCTTTTCCCTTACCACAGCTGCTCTCTAATCTCTTAACCACATTTCCTCTTCCATGATATTTAATATTTTTACTCAAAAGTGTCATGAATATGCAGGCCCAACCCTAGCATTCTTCCCAAGCTTAGTTTCCCTCTCTTTTTTCACTTGCCAAAAACAAATGAGCACAAAGACTGGGCTCAGCCAAATCGTCTCTTTCTCTCAGTTGCATACTCAGCACATGGTTTCCCTGTCCCATCTATTTTTAAGCAAGCAAAGGCCTACATATCCTAAAAGTACCAGTTCCCACCTGATCTTGGAAGTTAAGCAGAGTAAGCCCAGGTTAGTACTTGGATGCGATCACCCTCATCATCAACAGCGATCACTCATGGCCAAGTATAATTGTCTTCCAAAGGTACAGTCTTAGCCATGCATCCTCAAACTGTGGCCCTCCAGCTCTTTGGACCTCCAACTCCTAGAAGCCCTAACAAGCTTGTTCAGTTGTCAGGGATTCTGGGAGTTGAAGGCCCAAACAGCTGGAGGACCACAGTTTGAGGATGCCTGGTCTTAGCAAGGGCCACAATTTGAGGATTGTGAAGACCTATACTGGATCTACATGGTCTTTCACGATGAGGGCATCGATTTCCAGGTGGAAGGTGGATAGGAAGACCACCAATGAATACCAGGTGCTTTAGGCTATAAGTCAAATAAAGAAACTGGCTAGACTACCTCTGACAGTTCCTTTGAAATCCATAGGATTGTCATAGACCAACAAGCATCTTAAAGGCACAAACACACAAAGGAGGAGGAAAGTTTTCTTCAGTGGATGTGATTTAGGTTGGTTGTTGCTGGGAATGGAATTGAGAACTGTGATGAAAGAACATTAGATCCCCTTGTTAGCTGTTTAAAGACATTTATTCTGTTATTTAATTGCAGTGATATGCTGGGCTAAAGGAGCCCAATTGATATGTTACCTGTTTGGGGTTAAGATCACGAAGTTTGTGGAGGATGCTAGCTCCTCCGTCCTCCACTCCAACCTGTGGGTCCCCAAATGTTTTGGCCTTCAACTCCAAGAAATCCTAACAGCTGGTAAACTGGCTGGGATTTCTGGGAGTTATAGGCCAAAATACCTGAAGACCCACAGATTGAGAACTACTGATATAGAGTTTGAGGAGGAAAACTTCTTGTCTGTAGAAAACCATGGATCTAAATCATATGATTAACTTCCACAGGCTGATAAGATTTTCTTATCCATACAGAGAGAGGAATGGAACCAACAACAGAGGTAGAAGGACTAGCACCCTTTCCTTTCATGCTTATTAATCTGCAGTAGTTAACATATGAATAGGGATAACATAAAACATATACACATTGGATGCACAGGGTAGAGACAAGAATCTGGAATGCTATTTTGGTATCTCCGTAAGGTAGAGGAAAGACTGACCCTTGGAATAACAGTAGAGTCTATGAATGGCTTTGGAATTTCCTAAAGCATTAGATAACAGTGAGGAAATTAACAAGGCATTTTCCTTAGCAGAATAGCCTACAAGAGAAACAAGATTTACATGTACAATTATAACCTTTCCTTTTTCCTCTTTTTTTGTGAATGACAGATTGTAAACCTTATAGAAGAAACGGGACATTTCCACATCACAAACACAACGTTTGACTTTGACCTTTGCTCACTGGACAAAACTACAGTTAGAAAATTACAGAGTTACCTGGAAACATCTGGAGCATCCTGAGGACATCATTCCCGACTGCATCAATAACTGTGCTCTCTTTTTTGAAAAAAAAGAAATAAAACATTCAGAACGATGCAGCCAGGCTGGTGCAAAAACAAAAAACAAAAAACTAGAACCCAACAACAACCAACTCTCTTCAGCTTTATTTTTAGTTAAAGCCAGTCGTCATCTCTTGATAAAGGAGAAGTAAAGTGACAAGCCTCAGAGGATTTGCTCTTTTCACCAAGGAAACGCTCTGGAAGAGTTAGCCTGGATAGCCTTGAAAAAAAAAAACACTTAATGAATGTGTATGGTATCATGTATCTCCCTCTGTGGTCTTCTAGGCCACAAGGTGAATGCATGTTCAACACACTGCCTTATTACATAACTGATCTATTTATTATTGCATATTCATATCCTAAAGTCCTTGAGGGAATGACACTACCAGATGTTTCGAGTTCTTGTGTCCCGCATACGCTCCTTTGATGCAACGCCACCATCGTCACAACCCTTCCAACCTTGCTCTTGTTTCAATGCCACTTTTTCTGACCTCTTTCTTGTCTGTTTCACAATCCTATCATTCTGTTCCCATTTCTGCAGTTCTCCCGATGGGATACCCAGTTGGGGAGGGGTATGAAATTTGTGTATGCACCCACATGCGTGTACACATACACAGAAGCACACTCTCTGCTGCAGCAGCAGAATGGCCACCCAGACTGTAATTGTGTATTGATCTTGAACCATGGTAGGAAATTCACCAGATAGGATCATGACTTGTTTTCTAGCCTTAGTCAATAAACCAGTAGAACTTTTATTAATGAAGAAAGTGTTACTGTATACTGTTGTGAATCCGGAATTGTTTTTGCCATCGACTTTTTCTGCGTCTGTTTTAATGTTATGTTAGATATCTATAAAAGTGAAAGCACTCTAGAAGTTTGCCATAAAAAAAGAGAGAGAGAGAGAAACATTTGTCCCGTTCTCTATGAACATATTGTAGAAAATACTTAAATTTGGAGCTATTTATTACTAGGAGTTCCAGCACTCGTCTGCCCAGATGTGCAGTTCAGTTTCTTTTATAAAAATATAGAATTGGTTCTTTGCTCATGCAATGTATGGTCTGTGTTTAGATCCTGGTTTCAGCACTGTTTCTATCTAAAGAAAACCTTTTTTTGTTTGTTTGTTTAAGCAATTAAAACATGTTGAGAAATTGTTTCTAAATTTCAGTACCTGTTCAATGCTCTACATTTATGAATAGTAGGTCTCTCAACACAACTAACGAAATTAGTTGATTAGGCACATTCATTTTAATTGATTCATCAATGCAGTTTGCATTAGTGTGCATTAGTTTTTCGATAATCCTGAAAAATAACTCTACTTTGTCTATTTTTAGATGATTTACACAGGTATCATACCAGCTGCCATTTTAAAATACCTAGATTCTCCTGTACTGGAGAAAGGGCTCCATATTTTTAAGATGGCATCTGTTACCCAGAGTATTTACTTAGGGACTTCTGTTACAAAATAATGTATTTTAATAGTCTGCACAAGATTTTGAGATGTGTCTTGAACGTATTCTTAACCTGTTTTTCTAAATGATTAATCAATTAAGACCGCACTTCCCTACTTTTCAAAATAATTTCTTTTCCATTAAAATGGTGGTTCTCACCCTGTGGGTTCGCAGGTGATTTGGCCTACAACTCCCAGAAATCCCAACCACTTTTCCAGCTGTTAAGATTTCTGGGAGTTGAAGGCCAAAACATCTGGGGACCCACAGGGTGAGAACCACTGCATTAAAACAAGCATGGGCAACCTTCAGCCCTCCAGGTGTTTTGAATTTACAATTCCTAACAGCCAGTAGACTGTTAGGTATTGTGGGAGTTGACGTTCCCGGCTGTTAGGAATTGTGAGAGTTGAAGTCCAAAACACCTGCAGGACCGAAGTTTGCTCATGTCTGCATTTAAAATTATTTTAGAAAACCTTTGCAGAAAAGAAGGGAAGAAAAGACAAAAAAAAATCATTCAAAAGCTATTAAAATCCAAATTTCATGAAAGGTTTGGCTTTAGAAATACTTCTGAGTCTGAAAAATTGATCAGCCTCAGGAAAGGTTTGTGTTTGAGAGGCCATCATACTTCCAATCTCTGCTTGCTTGCAGACATCCATTGACTGTGTCATCCAGTTGCAGAAGTATCGTGTTGTTCTACATACATGGTTCTGTGCAGTATGTACAACTAGGTTCCTAGTAGGGATACTTTTTCATAATCCAATGGGATTTCTTAACACTGTTTCTTTAAGTCCAAAGAAATTATTTCCTTTTTTTTTTGTACGTGCGTGAATGTGTGTTTCTGTTCCTTTCTTTCTTTTTTAAATTAAAATGTTGTTTGACCATAATCTATGGAAAGTCTTCCTCAGGCTTCCAAAAGAACAAGTGTACTTTTCTTCAGTAATGTTATGACTCTTATTGATGATTGGCATGAAACATACTTGAAGCGTTATGTTTTTTTAAAGTCCACATGTTAATTGATGTGCAATTGTTGGGGTGAGAGGTTTTTGAAATCTCTTGACATCAGACATATGATGTGATGTTGGAGTATTGAGGGGGGTGTTTGAGTGGGGTCTTTTTTACATTTTTGTTAGCATTTTTATATAAAACGTTTGAAAAATGTAAAGGCTAACTTTCACTTTTTGAAATAGCACACATGTGATATGTTTCATTTCAAGTTGACCACAAAAACATGTGCTGGGAGGGGGGGTCCATGTTGACTTTTCTAACTAAATTTTGTGGCAAAACTCTTAAGAGGTTGGAAGGAACACAGACTGGCATAACTTTGAATATGTATTGGGCAGGTCACTGTTTTTATTTTGTTTTGTTTTGTTTTTTTGAAAACCAGGCAGAATATGTCCTTTGAGCCACAAAGAAGAGTAGCTGATGTACAGAATTTGTGGGGGTGGAGGGTTTAACTATGTAAAGGGAATATAACTGCAATTACAGTAGACTCTTAACTCTGACTTGCATGTAGTCTCATCAGTCATCCTTATAAAATGTTAGTTCTCTAGTTTGGTGAGAATGAGGATGGAATAAACACATTTCAGCTGCATTTGTGTGTTGAAAGTGAAGAGTGTTTTCCACAAAATTCTGGTAGAATAAGAGCTGGTAAGTGGTGTCCTTTAAAAATACTTTAGTTATTTTGTATGCTGAAACAAAATAAATCCTTTTTTCCAATTACTTTCAAATAGTCATATTTCTCTGACATGGAACACACCCTTTCAGGTGCATGGAAGATCAATCTTTTCCAGCTGGTTAACACATTAACACACATGCTTGCACTTGTCTTTCAAGTGCAAGAGTGACTATTTAATCTGAATGAAATTTCAGCCCAGAATCTGTTTTCAGTGCCTTGGTTCCCATCCACACTGACCGTTCAATACAGTTTCAAACTGGTACTGTGCAAATGATTCCATAGGAAATCCTGGAACCACTTTGAGACCTGGATGGTGATAACACAAACCACAGAGCACTGATGTGCATTAACGGCTTTCTTTCGCTCACTTGTGTGGGAATTTGTCTGGCGGCTGCAGAATGAAGCTAACTGAATAACATTAAGCAGTCAGTGTAGATCAGTGGTTCCCAACCTTTTTTTGACCAGGGACCACTTTCCAAAATTAGTACCAAAGGGGTTACAAATCAGTTCTTGGTCAACTTTCAATTTGGTTTGGTTATTTGGAGTGCTGATTCAAAAGATTTCATTGGATAGACCACATCAGCTCTAGTTTCTGATACAGAACATATGCCATCCAGTAGTCACATCTGCTTGCCCACAGAAAACCATATTTAATAAGCCTTGGCACTATAAGAGGGCTTCGCGAGACCAGTCGCTCTTGTTGCAATGGTGTAGTAATGGTGAGGTCGCGGACCATATTTTCATTTTTGCGGACCACTGGTGGTCCATGGACCACAAGTTGTGAATCTCTGGTGTAAATAGAGCCTAAGTTCTGCCCTTGGAGCTGTGATGGCAGAAATGGATAACTTCAAGCATGTACAGACTACAAGCAAAACTCACTGGTCTCATGGTGTGTGTTTCACAAGATTCTAACCCTGGGCATTTCTCTCCCTTCCCTCCACCTTTCCCTCTTTCTTCCCGGTGTTATTGGACTACAACTCATAAACCATGGAAACTGCAGTTTGGGGCTTTCGGAAGTCTAAATAACCAAGTTTGAGAACCAGTGTTTATAGTAATATACTGCTTTGATGGGAATTGATGGTTCATGTTTAATTTAATGCCATACTACATAGGTTGGAGCTGCATTAACATCATGATTACAAATTTAAGAAACAAAGAACTACTGTATTTAGTCATGTATAAGTTTAAAACATTCTAGGCAAAAATCGGCTCCCAAAATCTGGATCAATTTATCCATGGGCCAAGGACAGTACTGTACCTTGACTCTTATCAAAGGAAGAACCATTCCCTTCTCTGAGCAGAGTGTGAAAAGGCAAGAGCTTAGTCCATCCCTGGAGAACCTGAAAGAAGCACTACCCCTCTCTAGATTCTTCAATGCAGTGCCATTTTCAGCCCCTATGAATTCATGGTTGGGGAAACCGCAGTGACAGAGAGGGACAATTGGCCCCTGAGGTAGCACTTGCTAAAGAAAGGAGCAAATAAATAAATGCCTTCTCTTGCACTATTTTGCCCTGTTATACCGCACCGTTTTTAATCCATTGCAAACATGGCCTAATTGCCATGTAAATGGCAATTCTTTACTGCATCTTGATGAAAATCTGACTCAAAGTCTGTACAGTAAAGTTTTTAACCCCATGTTCCTATTAAGATCTTGAAAGGAGGCACAGTTTCAGTCAAAAAAAAAAAGGGGGGGATTACCAACTATATTTCTTTCAAAATGCCTACCACTACTTTGAAAGAGATTCCTTGCCATATTTTTTAAAAGCTGTATATGCTCCATTCAAGGATGGGGGGGGGGGGGAGAGAGAGAGAGAAGAAATAAATCAAAAGGGAAGAGAAGAAAAGAGGAGGGGAAGGGAGTGAGTTGCACTAAAAGCCAGGCTGTTCAAGTAATAACGGTTGTAACGCTGATATTGATTTGGGCACCAAGCAGACATTCCTAGCCCATGTGGTTTGTGTGTTCCTGTCTGGGTGGGTGGTCTGCTTTGAGTGGAGAGGGGATGCTGCGGAAAGGCAGCAAGATGGGTTTGGTTTCTGAGCAGCGGAGGAAAGTTGCAAAGCTGAGCTGTATCAAAGATCCTCCAGGATAGTGGAGGCTTCTTCTCTGCTCTGTACCACACCAAGCCCTCACCGATCCATTTAAATATTGGGCTTCAATAAGGCTCACAGTGGACATTTTGTGTGCAACGGCTAATCATTATAATAATTATAATGGACAACTGCAAGGCAATGCATTGTGTCCCATTTACTTTTTCCTGTCTGTGGAGTAAATAATCTCCCTTCAAAGGGCTATTTTGTACGGATGAGGAGGGGAGAAAGCCCCTGTTTCAAGTTCATTCTGCATTAGCACATCATTATCAAAAGCTTCCCTTAACATCGAAGCATGTTATAGAAAGAGCTGGGTGAATGCCACACAAGATGGGGCAATCTCCAAAGGCTAGAGGTTTATAGCCTGTCTCTAACCAGAGGGCTTTTCCGTTTATTGAGTCCTTGAAATATTTCCCTCTCCTAAATGCAGCAAAGCTTACAAGCAATGAAATGCATGTTCTTGTAAAACAGCAAAGTGAAGTGAATAGGGAAGGATGGTTGTGATGACACACTACATTCTTGTTCCTTCAGTGTCAGTTTTCATTAGTTGCTATGTTTGCAACAAATGCAAATATCCAAATAAGTCCCATGTGTGTTCATGTTCATTAGAACATCATGTCTCATAGTCATGTTGCGATGAGGCATTGGGAAGCAGTATCTGTTATTTTATTTTTACATGTTTTATATATTTTTATATTTGAATCTCTCCTTTACTCGAGTATAAAATTCAAGGCAGCATCAATGGGATAAAGGACTGGCTCTACACTGTACAATGAATGCAGTTTGACACCACTTTCAGTGCCATGTCTCAATGCTATGGGATCCTGGGATTTGCAGTTTGTGGAGGTTCTAGCACGCTTTGTCAGAGAAGGCTAAAGGCCTTGTAAAACTAGAACTCTCGTGATTCCATAGCACTGAGACATGGCTGTAAAAGTGGTGTCAAACTGCATTAATGCCATAGCGTAGATGCATCCACAATCTCCCATTCAGAAATGGTCTTGTTTTACCAAGCCTGCTTAGGTTTTTTTAAGCAAATTTGATGTCTCATCTGTTTCCAAACTATATAGTAAAGGTATTGTCCTCTCCCTTTCTTTTGCACAATTGTCAACATATGCTATTGTTGGAAATGACAACCTTCTTCAAGCTATTGTGGAAGGCTTTCTTGGCCGAAATCAATGGGTTGTTGTAGGTTTTTCGGGCTGCATGGCCATGTTCTAGAAGCATTCTCTCCTAACATTTAGCCTCCATCTGTGGCAAGCATCCTCAGAGGTTGTGCCTTCTTCAAGCTTTCTCTAGTAATGTTTATCTATGATCCTGTTGCTTACTGTTTCCTGTATGTATGTTCTGATATGCAGCTTCCTTTACTCTATGGTTCCTGAGAAATTATAAAAGGGGCTGCAAACCACATGATCACTACAGACTACTTCAGATTACAGACTATTTGAGACCTCAGATCACACACTTGCTTCCTGTTTTGCTATAAGAGATGTCTTTGTGTCAGATAGCACAAAGAATAATCTCAAACATATCTGAAACTGGACTGATAAGTTTTGTACCTGTGTATGCTAACAACTGAAAGCATTGCTTAGCTTAAATATATCTGGTTGTTTACCATACCACAAGAGAAGATTCTTCTCTGAAGGGTTTTTGTGAAGGGTTTTTGTGACCTTTCTTCTCTGAAAGGTCACACTTTTCTAAAAGGTATGGTATCCAAGAGGTGTTCTCCAAAAGGTAATGAATGCCATTTTCCATAAGCTATTGCACAGAAGTTCCAGGGTTAAACAGCTGCTGCCAATATTATTGAAACCAATCAAATTCCTAAAATTCTTCTTTTAAAACACATGAACTTCTCACAAAATCAAGTAGGAGGCAAGAAATTTGGCAGTACCTACATCATGGATGGTTTCCAGGGAGTGGCTATTGTGCCAAAGCTAGACCATCTACAGAACCATGTAACAAGCTGTAGATGTAATATGTTGTCACATGCTGGAGACTCCTTTCAGCAAGTATTGTATCTAGATCAAGGGAAGGCATAGTTCCACTCTATTCTGCTTTGGTCAAACCTCACCTGGAATAGTGTGTCCAGTTCTGGGCATCACTATTGAAGAAGGATATTGACAAGCTAGAAGGTGTCCAAAGAAACTACCAAAATGATCCAAGGTTTGGAAACCAACTCCTATGAGGAGTAGCTGAGGGAACTGGGTGTGTTTAGCGTGGACAAAAGAAGACTTAGAGGGAGCAGGATAGATGTGCTTAAATCTTTGAAAGGATGCCACATTGTGGAGTTGGCAAGATTATTTTCTGCTGCTTTGCAAATTAGGGCACATAACAATGAATTCAAATTACAAGAAAGGGATTCCACCTAAACATGAGGAAGAAGATCCTGCTGGTAATAGCTGTTTGGCAAGAGAATATACTGCCTTAGAATGTAGTGCAGTTGTGAAGTCTTGGTTTTGCCTTCTCCTCCTTTACTTCAGTTCCCCCTGATTATAGGCTTTCCCAATAGTGTAGACCTTCTTTTGTATTAGTTTCTGGGTGGAGCTTAAAACACCCCTTAGAGACCTGCCTCAGTTCATTTGTTCCTTTTCCCTGCACAGAGCACTTGGCTGGACTCCTCCTTCTTTCTGCTGTAGAGCCTTAGAGGCCTGGATATTGTCTGGAATCTTAGGCCTAGCTGTCCAAACAGGCATTCTTAGCCATTTTCTTATGCTGCTGCATTTGGCAGTATTTTATACCATCAGTCCAAAGGACAACAGAAGCTTTTGGTCAGCCAAGTGATGATAGTATGATAGCTGGGTCCAGAAGCTCTGAGCGTTACGCTATTTCCACTTTGCTCCTTTGAAAGCACTGTTTGCACAACACAGAATGGAACACGTGACCGAGACAGCGGGCCAGAGTGATAGACTGAGGTACTGTAAGCTGAGCCGGACACAGATATTATAGAAGGAATGTAAGA